AAATAAGAAATACTAAAATTAAATAGAACCACATATAATACACAAATAATCCTAAGAACTTACGAGTAAAAGCAAAGAAGAATGTAATAATATGTCAACCACATTACATCTCCCATATTCAGTGTTGACGAAGCCTTTCAACCAATACCAGGACTTATCATGCTAGCTGGGATAAGACAGACATTAGTGGTCTATGTGCTATTTTAAAACTCATGGTAAGGTGTAATACATAATAAATAAAACTGAGGATCGTAAAAATAGAGAACTAAATAAAAATATGACCTACAATGAACATATTACAATGTAAAATGAAACTGAACTCTGTATCTAATACAAAATTAAAAGTGACATAAAACTGGGTAAACATTACTTGAAACCAGGTGAAACTGAATGCAATAGAGAAATGAATACAACACGGAGTACAGTAAATAAAACATGACATGAAAGGAATTGCATACAGCAAAATCCCAAATGAATTAAATTCAATAAAACATTGTATGAACTGAATAAACAGGATTGAGTATGTCATATTACAACGATATTGAAATAATCAAGTCACGTGACAACCCAAACCAATACAAAGTTATAGTGGAATGTATCAGAATAACATTTTGACATTGCTTGTAGTTACATAGGTAGTACGATGCCGCTAATAATCGATCATTTTTAGAAGGTATTTTCTATGCCGAATGTTCATATATTTAGGTCATAAAGATTTGGTCAGATCGGAGATTTAGAATTTCCAAGACATATTATCCCTTGTACTTAGTGGTTTTGAAACACAAAGGAATATGAATGAACTTGGGGCTCTACAACAATTCAGAAAGAGGCCTGTAACAAGTTATACCCCAGCTGTGACAAGCAAAGTGAGGCATCTTTTAACGGTTGAGAATCCATGATCACAAAGGTAAATTGCAGGAAATAGTACACAATATAATCAAGAAGGATATCTGTCTGGAAACCAGGCCAACAGATAATGCTTCCAGTCATACTTCCCATTCAGCCACAACATACCTCAAGTAGCTTTAGAATTAAATGGGTATTCTTGTTATTCCATATGAAGGCACACTAATCAGGTTGTCGGATGCAGTGTCTGTAGATCTGTGCACAACTGGACTGTTGAAATGGGTAATGGGAAATCATAGTCTTTGTACTTTTGATGAATTGTGAAAAGCCAGCAGATAGTAGTGGTGTGCTTTGGACATGAAAATCAACGACAGAGATTTTTGGTCTGCTATCTGTGTGGCTGTTGGTGATTATTGGACCTTCAACAGGCTGGATTTGGTACACTACTATTCGAAGGAACTGGTGAATATTGTTCCATTTCTATTAATATTAAGGAATAAAATGCTTTGCCAATGTTACTGGCTCTGCTGTAGTTGGAGATTTTGGAAATAAGAGGATCTTCTCAACAATAATAGGTTCCTCATCCACAGCTGAATATTTAGTAGCTAGTCTGTGGTCTTAGAGAGACTGACAAAGTCACGCAGTCCTTCATGATGATGTCAGATTTTTCAGGTTAAGAAGGTTAGCTAAAAATCATGATAAGTAAATTGAGTAAGACATTTCATCTTTTTCAGTAAAAATGGACATTAAAAATGCAAAGTCAACTTGGTTCCTGACAGTTCAGATGTTCAGTTAGTAACATATGGTGTACAGGTACTTTAATGCTGACTGCTATACAAATGAGAGTCTAAAGGATTGTAATTGGTAAGTTACAGTGGGATTAGCGCCATTCTGTGGTCTGAAACCAGTTTACAATGGTTTCATTTAAAGAAAAATATCCAAACCATATACCTTGTTTTAACCTTGTAATTTGTATTTATGTATGATATTTGTTTCAATGACATTCATTATATTGAGATTAAGTAGGTTAAAAAACAGCTTAACAAAAATTAAAAAACCTATAACCATAGAGCTTTTGGAAGATGAATATTTCTTCATCAGGGGTAAAGTGGGAATGACTAAATAAAGTTGAGTTTTAATTGGTCATTCTCAGTTTGCTGTTGCTGAAGAAAGTTCTACCTATCGAAAGGGCTTGGATTATAGGATTTTTGTATTTTTTCTGGCCTCTTTTGGTAACATTTCATGTATATATATTTGTTACTCCTTCCATGTAAAACTGAAACTAACAAGATAAATAAAAAATGAAATACTGAGATACTGTAAAGATTATTTACCCAAACTACAAATCCCTATATTGACTCCACCAAATGTATTTATATGTAACAGCATGGAACCAAAATAGAAGAGCAATGGTTGCAAAACAGGTATTGATAATATGCACCACTCACTTATTTATATAATAGCTCACAGCTGGAATGCAACAATAAAATAATTCCACCTGATTTTTTTTGTTTCAAAGTATTTTAATAAGTTTACAAATAAGTATGTTTTCCTAACATTTGATTGATTTACCTGGGTATATCTAACCATCTAGTATCATTAAAACAGAAGAGCAAATCTTGGGTGGCATGGGCTCTATTTCATTCATTTCTATCTATAAGTTAACTAAACTAGTAAATAATCTTGTCAACTTTTCTTTGGTCAGTCTTTTGAACAAATATTGGTTGGTTTTAGATGATATATTCAAAGATAACTGAAATCAAATAAACAAGTGTTTAGTCCACAAAACAGAAAGTTCTTAAAATTTAATGAGAATGGCAAACATAAGTTTGATTAACCAACACTTTTACTGCAGTTAACAAAATAATAAAATTATCACGTATGAATGACTATAGAGAACGGCCCGGCATGGCCAGGTGGATCAGGCGGTCGACTCTCTCTAATTTAGCAGTGTAAGACTAGAGTCATCACCACCCACCACCAACTCTTGGGCTACTCTTTTACCAACGAATAGTAGGATTGACCGTCACATTATAACGCCCCCACGGCTGAAAAGACGAGCATGTTTGGTGGGACGGGGATTCGAGCCCGCGACCCTCAGATTGCAATGTATCCTGTGCTGAATAGTCTCAGTGATTATTGAGTGAAGTCATCCTCAAAATTTATTAATGCCTTACCAGAGAAATTGATCATATGGTAAAGAGTGTCTTAGGCATTCATATACAATCATTTTGTTGTTTTGTTGGGTGCACTAAAAGTCTTGTTTTATCAAACTTATATATAGCCTTCTCTTTAACTGCATAGAAATTTTAAGAACTTTCTGTATTGTCTGTTTGTTTTTGAATTTCGTGTAAAGCTACACGAAGGATAGCCGAGTGTGTTTTGCAGATTCGATGAGCCTTTATTTCTTTTTCACGACGTTTAGTGTAGTGGACGTATGAAGAAATAGACAGTAAAGGCAGTAGGGAATCTGGATTCACTTTTTTACTATACTGAGAATAGTCTCCTGATGTGGTATTCTGGGAATTTCTAACATAAACTAAATTTGAATTGTACCTAGTAAATTTAGTTGCCATTTAGCACATGCACTAATCCTGCCCATAAATGAGGGCAAGATTTAATACAGTTTACAGTGACTGTAACATTACACTTAAGTACATAATACCTGTACTGAAAATTTAAAAATTATCTAAATAAGCATTGGCATTTCCTGAGTGATGAAAAGGTTACATTTAACAATAATATTTGCATACTACAACAACCAATGCCACATAAAATGGGTTATTACCCCCTTTAAAATTATTTTAAAATAGTATGTTCGGCTCTAAAAAAAAGAGGGCAATTATTGTACTGCTTTACCTTTCTTTTGGATGGATAGTGATTGCAATAATACATGTATGATACGTGGGTATATATATCACGGGCTTTCTTATCTTCTGTAGCATTATATGTGTTTTATTATTTTTTCTTCAGTTACATAGTTTATGTAATGTCATGGCAGCAGCACGTGATCCAGAAAGTCGCTAAGATTTACTTGTTTTAGTTTCTTCATTTCTTTGCTCTCTTTAGAAGATGACGTCTTCTCTGGTCACAAGGTTATTTCAGTATTGTATGGAATATCTGTGTTAGATGGATTAGCACTAGAACATCCTTTGCTAGCCGATTTTAATGTTGACTGAAAGTGAGAGCTGACCTATGATGTCAAGAAACAAAGGTCACGAGGTGATGTCGTCCAATAAACAAAGAAAGTGAGTTTGCATGCTAAATTCGACGAGCTTGCTTTCTTTGTTCAGTTTTTACTAGACAGTCAACGAAGAGGAGTTGATTTTTGGAGATCATTGTGTTTGGTTCCTCAGAAACCAATATCGAGAGAAGGTAGTCGGCAGAGCGAAACACCCTCTAGTAGAAAGAACCTCCCAACATCTGTGTAGGTACGCGCATTGCGTTTCTTGTTTTATTTATACAATAAAGATTTCTTTCACTTTTACAATGTTGTGTAGAATTTAGTGCAATTATCTAACATAGATCCCTCCTAAATTTTTGGTCCATCCATCTAATTGATTTACCTCAGAATACCACACGTGTATATGAGTGGAAGGTTTTATTTTTTGCAATTGACAATATTATGTTTTCTCTCAGCACGCGGTTCTTACTCTCACACTCAAAACGAGAGATGCTTAGTTATGTAAGAATTATTGTTTTTTGAAGTTTATTTTTTAAAGTAAGGAAGAATATATAAATAATCATTATTCAAATAAAGTTTGTTTGTGTTTTGATAGTAAAGCCACATTGGTTACCTGCTGTGTCCACCGCGGGGAATCGAACCCCAGATTTTAGCGTTGCAAGTCTGTATAGACTTACAGCTGGCCAACTGGGGGACTTCAAATAAAGTCTAAAGAGTTAAAGATTGTAATGATCAAAGTTCAGTGTGTTTGTAGCACATTTATAAACCAGTAAATAAATAGATTAATGTGCAACATTTTTATTAGCTTTAATGATTTTGTATTATTTTTTATTTATTTTCAGTTAATTTTTAATTCATAGCTGTTCAAAAGTTATCATAAACAATAAAACGGTTTTTAGTGTAAATATTACTGGATGTTGGTTCTCGGCCGACTGTATTTGGCGTTGTTTGAAAGCAGTTTGATAATTCTTTGCGGTGACGTTGCGAACGCCTCTTGGCTCGCTTTGCAAATATGGCACGTACCGGCGAGAAAATGACGGAGCCGACTCAACCAAATGAGTTGAAAGACGAAAAGGAAGGGATAAGTATTTGGTGAGCAGAACTAAGTTTTTATAACCAAATAATTCCAAACATTATTTGAAACATAATTTTTGTGTTTTTATTGGTAAGAATTAAGTTGGTCGTTGTGATTAATAGTTGATACTAGAACTAAAAAGTAATATTAAAAATATATGGATTTACATAATAATTATTAAAATTATATTTTGTACTCTGTGTTTCAAACGTAAAGTTGATTTCACAATCTAATTAGGTATATGAACATAAGAAAAAGCAAGGTGACAGAAAGACAAAGAAAATAATTAATACAACTTAAGTATTGCCTATCACATACATTACCTCTTCAGCAAAATTTTAAAATAATTCAAACTAACAGCACAAACTACATATCAATTAACCTAACTTAAAAATTAAAGAGCACCAAAGAAAAAGTTTCCATCTAGCCTTTAAAAAAACATAATAGTTTAAACCTCTCTTACTTTTAATAATCAGACTTATATTTTTACCATTTATTTCATCATTGAGACAGACTTCCCATAGAAAAAATGACCAAAGTTTTGTCATTTTTTATTGTTTAATATCTTAATTACTAGTCCTTTAATTAATTTTTCTATGCACCAATATCAAGTTTCCTCCAACTCAAATGTGTCCTTTCCTAATTTTCATATGTAGATTGTATACCTTTACACTTTTCAGTATTAAAAAGACAAATGTAACTGTAGAAAAAATTACCCCTTTTACCCATGCTGCCCTTGCCAACAGTGCATATTATAAACATACACACACAACTATTTAAGTTACAATATCTTGTAATTGAACAATTTAAAAAATACATAATAAGAATAAATATGTTTAATATGGTTTACTGTCATTTTACTTTTGAATTATAAAATAGTGATGTCTTAAATCTTTGATGTTAGGCCTATATGGTTCATAACATTCTGTATGTTAAGACAAATGGTACTTCTACAATTATACTCTTCTGTTGATACTCATTTTCAACATTCTGTAAAGATCTCTTTGAATGAGGAAAACTTTTCCCAGAAGGATCAAATCTTTCAAGCATTTTGATATTCTCAGAAAATTAAAAAAAAATATTGTCTAAGAAGCAACCAAGGTTTTTGACATGATGGGCAACCAAGGGACCTTACTAATTACATCAACCCAGTTGAAAAAAATTCTGTTATATCATCTATTTTGAACCATTGACCCAATTTTCTATCTAATTCTTAACTTTTCCATTATTACATGTCTATATATGTAACTAATGTCTTGTGAGGCACATTTTCAAATGATTTTCAAAAGTCAAAGCACATAATATTAACTGGGGTGCATCATTTAAAGAAATGCAAAAGCCCTATCAAAAACTGTAATAAAATAGTAAGACAAGAAAACTTTCCTGAAACCCTTGAGACTCGTTAATTAAATGTCAGTTTCCTAAGTAATGTATGACAATAGTTTCCAGTATTTTTCTAGTAAGATTCTTTCTCAGATTCCGTTTTTGAAAAGAATAGGAATCATATTAGTAATTCTTTTAGTATCAATAATATGATATGATTTTACCACAGTTTAGATTTTTGAAGAATAAAGCCCTTGGTATCTATTTTACAAGTTTTCTAAATATTTTAACACACCAGAATCTCTTCATAAACAGTTTTTTCAACAAAGATAGAATTTAAGGGAAAATCCACTCAGTTTTTAAATAAATTAGTTTTGGAATCTTCCTTTCCTTCAACAGCAAATGTTTTTTAATTGAAGAGGATCTGAATAGTCTTAATGAACTAGCATTATATTGTTTCAGCACTGAGAGATTCGACACAACTGAGGAATAAAAATTTGGAAAATTTCTGTTGTGAAAGGACTATAGGTCTGATGAAAGAAAGGAAGGATTTAGCTACGGTTATTGATACATGTGAATGCCTGAACCTTATGGTCTAAAGACCTAGCAGAGTTTAGTATCCTTATGTGTTCAGTTTTGATTTTTTATCATAGAAATGATAGGTTTATATAGGGGTTTTCCTGTTTAACCAAGTTAAGTTTTTTACAGGGATATATTTACTTCTCTATTGAATTTGTAAAAGAGTGAATGGCTTGCATAACAGTGGGAAAAGCTACAGGAGCTTGAGTTGGTGTTTTTAGATGGTTGTTCAGAGAGTCAAGTGATGGGTTGGTTAGCTCACTGCCAACTTATTTCTGCCCAATGTTCGGAACTCTAGTTGAGCTATATGTGCTTATTAGGACATAATGCATCATTAAGCAAGTTTACTTTTTTAGTCAAATGATTTCCTGTTTATTGAAAATTTAAAACGAATTTGGCATTTTTGACTTTTAACTATGATTTTAAAAATTGTATTCCTTTGAAAGATGGATGTGTTCAAGTAACTCTTATCTATTAACATAATGTGTTGGATCAACATGGGATCTATTGGCCCATCTTGGCTGTTCCATCATCTAAACTAAATTAAAATAATAATAAAAAAATCTTAAAGCCAACCCTTATCATTCATATACTTATCAAG